CACTCGTAGCGTTTTCGATCGTTTTTGTCCGTCCACACGTTATACGCAAAAACGACTGAAAACGCTTCAAATGCCTCTAAAGGGCATGCGCGCCACTGAGTTTAGCCGAGCCTGCGAGTTGTTTGTGGCTTTTTATCGCTTCTTTTGCTAGTCTTTGGAAGCAAAGCATTCAAAAATGTCAAAAACGAGAGGCCGCGATCCTTTTGGTCAGCAAAACGCATGCGCGTGGAATTGAATTCGACCTCTTGACGTCATCGTTTTCGAAAAGTTCCGTTTCAGGTGTCCACACGAGAACACGAAAACGCCGTTTTCAAAAAGTTTTCCACTTTGGAAAGCGTTTTCAAAAGTTTCCGTTTTCGGTGACCGTTTTCACCGGATACGTGTGGACGGGAGGCGAAAACGGAAAGAAACTTTTGCGTTTTCAAACGAAAACGGATACGTGTGGACGGGGCCTTAGGGAGCTATGTCACGATATCAATAATTGTTGAAAATTACCTTTAAAACAAAGGAAACCTCAAAATAATAACTTACAATGATTACGAACTTGAAAATTTAAGCTACATGTTGCAAGATGTGCCATGTAGGGGACAATACCACACGGCTTTCGGCAGTAATTGAACATGCAATTGATGAAATGTTTGATTGAATGCTAGAGTTCTATAAAAATCAAACTTACTTGATGGCTTCCACTCAATACAACGAGAGCACTATGTATCCACTAGGTTGTAGACGATGTAATCTGTTTGAACTAGTAAGGCTATTTATTCCCTGACCAGTCACGGCTTGTTAATGTAGATTAGCGCAGATCAGATGTGTGGTTTGATGAGCATATACTAGCTATAAAATATTCAGAAGACGTCCTCTCTCGCTGGTGCAGTGATTTTTTGGACTTTTTATTATATATATTTTTTATTCTGCCAAGTGGCTCTTAGTCAGCTAAACTTTGATCTGAATCCCTTCTGAAAGGTGACCAGAAATCTTAAAATGACAATACAATGTTTTTAACGAAATATAAACAATCGGGTCGCAATTCTAAATATCTTCCCCATTCATTGTTGTTAGAAAAAAATTGATGGCGTCAAAGCAACATTGATTCGGGAGGTGTATCATGAACTATAATTTTCGGAAGAACTTGAAACTTCACGCAAAACCGCCGGTGGTTAGTCATATGGCATCGTACTGCCATCTCTAATATCTCTAATCTTTTAACTTGTGCCGCACTGACAGAAGTTGTCACGTAATGAAGTGTTATTTCGAGATTCTTTTGGAATATGAAAAATTTAGCTGACCTCAGTAATTATGTATTCAGTGTAGTTTCACCAATAACCTGATTCTCAGACGGTCCAAGAACGGTCGCTCTCACTCCTTCCTCTCGCGACCGATCTCGGACCGTCTGAGAATCAGGCTACCATACCAAGAGGGGATGATCTAATTGGGTCTCTTGTAATGATAACTTTTTTAAATCTATTTTTTAATTCTCAGCCCACAGCTGAGCTATTTTAAGAGCGCTACCTGATTGGTCAGTTCGAGTAACGTGATGTTGGAGCCTCGATAAATCAGAAGGAAATAAAAATAACTTTCACAGCATAGCGAGACACCATTAATATATTTCAAAAATTATCATGGGGCACGGGGAATCCTTCTCTTAGATCATCCTCTCTTGACCATACATATAAAGATGAAATTTTGCAAACTGAACCGTTTTAATAGAAAAGCTGTTTTTATCTCGAGTTAATGGTAGGTCTGTTTTTCGTTTAACAAATAACTGGTCGTACAGGTTTCAACAGCGTTTTTGTCAGCAAGTAATGGCCAGTGTGTGTGGATAGAGAGGAGGATGTTTAACATTGTTTTGTGATTTATGACAGGATCGGAAAGGGAACCCCAAACCTGAACATGAATGGCCAACAGAGGAGTACTGGAAGAAACCCTGGTGGATGAGATCAGAGGACGAGTTAGACGCTGGGTCATCAACTGAATCCGAGACTGAACAAGAGGACGAGTCAGACGCTGGTCATCAACTGAATCCGAGACTGAACAAGAGGACGAGTCAGACGCTGGGTCATCAGCTCAATCCGAGACTGAACAAGAAGACGAGTAGCAGACTGGAACAGAGGAAATAGTCACGTGACCAACAGAGCAGATCAATACAGCTGGAAAGCATTGTTAGAAATCTACACACCTAGACCGAAAGGTAGTATGGGTAGTTCAGTCTGGACTGTAACTAAGTGACATCTCAGTGACGTAATCAAACACGGGAACACTTTAGTATGAAGCTGGACAATGGAAACAGTTTGTAGAATCATAGGCTTAGCATTTCTTTTCTCGTAAAAGAATTGATTCATGATCTTTAAAGATATTTTTCTGTCGGTCTGTAGTTTGTATTTGGGCATACAGTGTGCTGTCCGATAGATCCACTGTTTCGCAAAGTTCTTCGCTTTATTGCAACTTTTCTTTTGCGTTATTTTAACGTCGGCAAGGTAAAGGGCCTGTTGTGTGGCAGATCTGGGGGGGGGGGGGGTGGGCGGAGGGGGGGGGAGGGTACGGTCGAACCCCCTAAACTAATACTAGAGACGTACAACACATGCGGATCATTACGGACGCTAACATTTCGGACGAGTATGTCCACAGAAAAATTGTCGGGCTTGGCGCTGATGAACATTCACTGGGACAAACCCGTGGATTACGATGCTGTGGTCCAAAGTTTTGCCCGAAGAATGTTGACCTAATTTTCAGCAACTTTCCTTTTCTAAAACTAGTCGGTTTAAAATCGAGATGACTAACAGCAATTAAACAAGTACCACAACCCGTCTACAGGCCCTCAAAATGCTTCAGGACATGAATTTCAAAATTTCGCGGGACAATCAAGTTACTCCCGCCTTCAGCGGTCGTCGTTCAGTCACCAACCCCCACCCCCCAACCCCCCTCCCCCCCCCCCTCTTGTTCAATTCCTAGATCTGCCCCAGCTGTTAAGTGCTAATCTTTACTGAAAAGCTAACGTAAATGATGTATACCGTGTTCAGAATATTTCATTTAACCAAGTGATTAAAGTGTCGAATCAGCAAATTGTGAATGAAACTTAGGACATATCTTTGACATTTTAATGCCATCGTCAATATTTACAAAGATGGAGAACGGTTAATAAATACCTGTGTGAATTAACGATGATAGAGGGAATGAGAATACAGAAACTAATTAAAAAGCTGCTATCGTGAGAACTGACGGCCACTTTGGGATTAAATAATATAGTGACAATGTTTTGTACGAATCCATCTTTATGCTTTTAGTTTCAGTATTGGCGTTCCCTTTAGTCTTTGCTAATTTGAAACTACAGTCGAAGCTCCCGTAAGCGGACCACCTCGGGATGCAGAAAAAGTGTCCGCAACTGGAGCTGGCCGCTTACGGGAATGTGTAAATACAGAGTTTGTACGAGCTAGAATTGAATCGGGGTTTTGGCAAGGCGGCCGTTAGTCAGTAGAGCTGTCCACTTACGAGAGTGTGTAAATACAGAGTTTGTACGAGCTAGAATTCAAACGGGGTTTTGTCAAGACGGCCGTTAGTCAGTAGAGCTGTCCGCTTACGAGAGTGTGTAAATACAGAGTTTGTACGAGCTAGAATTGAATCGGGGCTATGTCAAGGCGGCCGTTAGTCAGAAGAGCTGTCCGCTTACGAGAGTGTGTAAATACAGAGTTTGTACGAGCTAGAATTGAATCGGGGTTTTGTCAAGACGTCCGTTAGTCAGTAGAGCTGTCCGCTTACGAGAGTGTGTAAATACAGAGTTTGTACGAGCTAGAATTGAATCGGGGTTTTGTCAAGGCGGCCGTTAGTCAGTAGAGCTGTCCGCTTACGAGAGTGTGTAAATACAGAGTTTGTACGAGCTAGAATTGAATCGGGGTTTTGTCAAGACGGCCGTTAGTCAGTAGAGC